GTAACAGTTTTGAATTATGCCTCTTTGAGGTCCTCAATTTCCTATTTTTGCAGCAGCTTTAGACACTGTTAAATTGCTCTTTTGCTTTCAAGTTCTGTCAGTAATTTTTCTGCAGATAGTTGTTTTTTTCTTGTTCTGTTCTTTTTATGGTGGTTTTTTAGGTTATATGTTTATTTTATAGTAAAAAGCCATTCGCTGTTTAACTTTTATGAACAGGATGCGCGAGGGTTTTTTTAAGTGAATGTTGTAGTCATTACAGTTTTTTAATGGTGTTCTAAAGTTTTACTGGTAAATGGACTAGAGCTTCTTGCTGTGGCAGTACTTTTTTTTCTCTTTTTGAGACAGTACAGCATAAACTCTTATCGCCAGAGTAGAAAAGATAAGATTACTAACGAGTAATGATAGGGGTTCGTTGCAAATAATAAAGTTCCAGATTTGAATTATTAGCAGAACAGAATTGGCAGTTGAGAACGTTTACTTCCTGGCAACTGGATTTACTACGTAGAGGTTACTCATATACATATTTTTCTAATATTATTTTTTACCAACCGTGTTATACTTTTCAGCACTCAGTTTCTTTCGCATTCCGCAGTCAAGAATTTACTTAGGAAACTTCAGGTCCTCAGTTAACTGATAATGTGGCTCAACTACACATAACGCGACTTAGTGCTGTGCTCGACAATATGACAAAATTATTATGCATGTTGGTGTCCCAGAGTTTTGTTGTAACTCTCCAACCTGAGCCAGTTTTGAAAACTCAGCACAAGTTTGTTGCGGAGGTGTCAGCTTTAAAATTCTTAATCATTTTTTCATTTTTTTATTATCTAACATTTTAGTGACTTATTTTTGTGAAAATTCTTTTGAATGGTTGGTTTTGTTTGCTCTTTTAGGTTCGGTTATTAATTGGCGATAAACTTGGAATCAGGCAACACCTTGTTAATACAAATGTCACTGTAAAAATTATTGCTGAAGAAGAGGCTCGGATGCTTAGTATTGCCCAGATTTCTGAGAAAGAAATGTAATATTGATTCATTCTTTTGATCAATTTTTCGTAGGTTTCTTTGTTTACAATTGCAATCTGTTCCTTACAGAAAAACTGTTGGATCAATCAGCAATGACTTTGAGAAGTTGACAATGGACGACAAAAATCACATGGCTGCTAAATTTATGAACTCGGTTTGTAGCTTTTTGTTCGAAGGGTAATTTTTTAGACTTGGTCAAAAGTTTGTGGCGACTGTAATTTTCCCATAGTAATATTTCAAAAGTAATTGATTTGTTGAGTGAGGTTAGGTTACATGAATTTAGGCGAGAAGTGAGCGTAGTCGGTTGTTTATGATACGAATTCCTCTTATAAATTATTAATTGATTACTTCTTCGTCCATATCATCTTCTGATTTCCAGAAGTTAACTAGAATTGCCCATCGGAAACCACCTTCAAAGATGACTCAAGTAGATACAAAAGGTGCATCTACCACTTCACAGACCGCAACAGATCAGAAATATGCTCTTCTTTTCCACATCAGTCCTTTCCAGTTGGGCAATCTTGGGAAGTTTGATGTGTGGACTTTATCACTACCTTTAATGGTGACTGTTCACGGCAGTCAAGACTGTGATGCGCAAGGATCAATTTTATGGCAAAGAGCATTTTCAAGTGTCGTAAGAACACTACTTAATTTGAACTAATTTCCTAGTTTTGCTCTTGTACTGCATTTCAAGTTTGTTTTCTTTATTAAAATTTTGAATTTCAAAATTTTTTTTCTTAATAATTTTTCGTTTTTACTTCGATTTTTTGATTATATGTTCGTTGAACGGTACATGTTTTGAGAATCGAACAGCAACATCTGCCGACATCAATGCTGTTGCCTGGTCGGAACTTGCTGAAATTTTGCGTCATAAGTTCGCTTTATTTACTGGTGCTCGGAGGGAGATTAGCGATGCTGATCTAAATTATATGGCAGAAAAACTAATTGTCACTTGGAATATTGATAATAAACCCATAACGTTTCATCGATTTGCAAAGGTTTGTTTTATTAAACCTTTAGAATGACTTTAAATTCTTTTATCTTTTAGGAAAAAGGTCTTTTTTAATAACTCATACACTATCCGTCTCAGTCAAATACACTTCAGCTTTTAAAGTGATATTTTAGCAGAATTTGCGAGATGACGTCAACTTTTCATTTTGGGAATGGTTGTTTGCAATCATGCAATTGATTAAACAGAAACTTTTAAAATTTTGGGACGAAGGTATGAATTAGAGCTACATTTTCATCTCTCAATCTGCCATCGTAATCAGCAAGAAGCGTTTCTCATTCAGAAGCTTCACATTTTCGGAACACTTTGTTATTGAAAACCTGATTTTTGTCGGAGAAGCTTGTTTTAAAAAAACCTTCCTTTTAAGTAATCAGATATGTTTAGATAAATAGTTTGCTCTACAAATTAAGTTGATTTTTTACTAATACAGTCTTCTTCTTTGCGTGGTTTTTTTACCTCTGAAAAGAAGCATTAAAAAATAAGTTCTGAAGTCAACATATGCTTTTCAAAACAACAGCGTATACTTGAAATTTTGAGGTTTATTGTGTTCCACATGTACTTACTACTTCTTAGGTTGGCTTATTGGATTTATCAGTAAACAAGACGCATCAACACAAATGATTAGCGCTCCACATCCAACTTTCCTATTACGGTTTAGTGACACTCAAACTGGCGCAGTCAGTATTGGTTTTGTTTGTGAAGATGACGGCAATAGAGGTACTCAAATTTCCAGGCTTTATTTCTATTATATGCCGTTTTAACGCTATTAAGAGCTCGTGGACATAAGAAGCTAATTTAGTTTTTTTTTATTTTCGTTACCTCTGTTTCGGATTTTCGTTTATTTTTCACTCAATTTTGGCGATATTACTGCTAGAAATTTGATTGATTACACTGATAACTCATGATAGTAACAAGTTAATTTAGTTCCATTTCATCTTTCACCATTTTCGATTAAAGATCTCGACCAGCTCTCACTAGCTCAGCGCATTGCATCGTGTCCTCAGTTGAAGGAAATTAAGTATGTGGAGTATCTTACCTGTTACCTACTCATTTCCGTTTATGTTTGATGATCGTTTAGGTCTGTTCTAGTTTTCAGAAAGGAGCTTTT